TGTCATTCCTTTGGCTGCCCCATTCAAACGGCCCATGCTAGATTTGGGCAACACCTTATCTTGTGAATCTAGATAGGAAGCAGATACTGCCTCCCACTAAGAAGCCCAAAAGGAGCGCTGGTGGTGCAACGGTTAAGCGATGGGCTGCTGATTGGAAGGTTAGTGGTTCAAACCCACCAGTTGCTCCATGGGAGAAGAGACTTGGCAACCGACTCCTGTAAAGTCATAGAAGGGTCTCCATGCGGGAACAGACTCAGCAGCACCCAGGGACAAGAACCCGCTCCAGGAGCCAGACAGCAGCTGTCCAGGCTGCCCTTGCAGCTTAGAGCATAAGACCTGTGTTCGACTGTCAGACATACCTGACCCAGGTCTAGCAACGGGAGCTAGTGCTGTCAAACAGCAGGGACAGGGGGATTGCAGCCCAGCCATGTGTACTTTGCCCAGAAGCAGTGAGATCAGTGCTCTCAGTGGCAGGAGTGTCACTGCTGGTTATACATGATCTATTGTGTCCTCACAAAGCTCTTTTGGTGGCATGGCTGGATCTGTTCCCAAGGGCCCCTCAGTCCTGCCTGTTTTTCAAGCCTGCATCCAGACATGTTTAAACCACCCCCACATTCCTTTTCGCCTCTCTCTGCCAGGGTCAGTTTTTCTTGGTTGCAATTCAAAACCCTGTCTGGTACAGACAGCAGATCAGCCGGTTTAATAAAATGTTAAGTAGACTGCTCCTTTTATTGGTTTATTGATTTGCCTATGTATCTTTGACTTGGCTTCTGCTCAGAGACTGTTTTCTTGAGTGATTTTTGCTTTTGTAATACTGATACATTAAAGAGGAATTTTATTTTTATTTTTTGGCAATTGGCCTACCTCTCTTCCCTTCTCCCCCCTTCATCTTTTTCGGATGTTGGTGGGTGGATTAACCCAATTCAATTTTAATTGCCTGGGATCTCAGTAACACACTTTAGGTAAAAAAAATTAGGTAGCTGAGAAGTGGAAGAGTAAAAGAAAACAGAGAGAGGAGTGAAATAGATGTTTTTGTGCAGGAGAGTATTACGATAGAACTGTGAGCTCGGTTAACTGTTTACAGACGAGGGACTTGCAACAAGGAGTGCATAACTCATGGCTGTAACTAACTCCTAGTCCAGGCCTCCTGCTCTACCTCCTGGGTGGTTAGCTGTTCTGGCACTGGCCCCAGATTCATGGCAACCCCAAGCTCCCCAGAAGAGAATGCTGCTCTGTTCTGAGCTATCCCCATGAACACTTAGGGATCAGAGCGTTGTGACGCAGATAGTTTGCATTGGCTGGTTTTCAGAAATATGATTCGATTGCCTGACCTTTCTTCTTAGTCTTAGTCTACAAGCTCTACTGAAACCTCATAGCAACATATAAGCTTCCTCTGACAGATGGGCAGTGGTTACACATGAGATGCACTGGTCAGGAACTAAACCAGTGCCTCCTACACAGAAGGGGAGAATTCTATCCCTGGATTACAAGTGCCTCCCAGTCTATGATACTGTGAGAACAATAACCAGAAATCAAGCTGAGATCGGGTTAAATTTAGCCCAGTTTATTATATTTCTAGAGGGAGTCCTGCTGGTGTAGTGGTTATGCATCGGGCTGCTATCAGAATGGTCAGCAGTTCAAAACCACTAGCAGTTCTGGGGAAGAAAGACTAGGCTTTCTACTCCGGTAAACAGTTACAGTCTCGGAAACCCATGAGTGTCACTATGAGTCAGCACTCACTCAATGGCAGTGAGTTATGGCACTTTTTAGGTTTATGGCTCTGTATGATAAGGATTTATACTTTCAAGAGATGTTGTTTGTTTGTTTTTCTTTACCATTTACAAAGCACTCACTTCATTAAAGTCTCTTAACTACCCTAAGAGATAAGACCATCATCACCCAAGACGAATGAAACACATGGGGAAATGTTCCTGTTCCTTAGCCTTCTGGGAAATACCAGACAAAACAACATGAGATACCTTCTAACACCCATAACTGTAGTCCAGATTTTAATAAACTGAGAGCAACAAATGCTGAAGGGAGGGCGGCGAGATCGGAGCTCTTAACCACAGCTGGTGGACTTGTAAATATCAACAGCCACTGTCGAAGCCAATATGGCAATTGAACTACCTTATGATCCAGCAATATCATTGCTGGGTATATACCCAAAAGAAATAAAAAACAGCATGGGGTTTGTTCCCCCGTGTTCATTGCAGCCAAGTTCACAATAGCAAGAAGCTGGAAATAGCCTAAATTCCCATCAGTAGAAGATTGGATAAAAAAAATCTCCGGTGTATGCATCCCTATGAAAACATGAAACACCTGAAGATGTGGCGAGAGCTGGAAAACAGTATGCTGAGTGAAGGTAGACAATCACAAAAGGGCAAATACTGTCTGCGTGCACTGCGGTAGGAACAAGCAGCAGAACAGGCCCACGCTCAGGCTTGTGAGGCATCCAGTGTGCTGTCTGGGGACCAGACAGCCCGGTAGAGAACCTGACTGGTGTGAATGAACCGTATACTATCCACTCTTGGTAAGTATTTTGAAGGTCACTTGGCTGGAGGGCACGTCATGATAGCTGGGATCAAAGGGTCAAGGGAGGAGACGGGATATTGTCTACAGAGTGACTGCCATTGTAAATCTTATGATGAGGTTCCCTGCCAACAGGTAGGCAGCCCTATCAGAGAGGTGAGGGATACTGATGGGAAAAACAACACAGGAGAGGATAAAGGGAGCCAACGCATCTGGGGGGCATAAATGCATGTCTGTTGGTAGGAAAAGAGGGAGGACCGGCCTTCAGTTGGGGGAAAGAACGATTGAAAATGCTTTTGGGGACACTAAGGGGAGAATGTTTTTGGTGGTATGCACTGAATGGGCCACATTGACCTGGGCTTCTGGGTGCATCCTGGGGACCCAGGCCGGGTGCTGTGGAACGCTGGGACACTGAATCCTGGATCTTCAAAGTGCACAGCATGCTCAGAGGCTGCATCCTTGAGTTCCAATGCTGGAACGTCACTGCGTGAACTGGACTCTACCCCCCCACACACATTTAACCTGAGGACGTAAGTAGGAAAATATATGGTGTCTGAGGAAGCGGCAGACAGCTGTGCCAACATTGTTGAATTGCTGGTAGGCGGACAAACATGGTCTTGCTACATTGGTGCCTTATATGCTGTATATATTGTTTGGGAGAACCTGTGACTGACTTCTCTTTTATTTCGTTTTTGTTTGTTCATATTAGGGTGTATCAGAGGTGTTAAGCCATTGGGGGTCACTGTCTTGAAGTTGTATGTTTTTGTTTATTGGTATATGAAACCCAGGGTTGATGAACCGACAGGGATAACAAGTAGAATAAGGGTTTCAGGGTAGGGGTGGGGGTGGTAAAACGGAGACCATGTCAAGGAGTCCAGGAAGAAAAAGGAGGTTTGGAAACTGATTGTGGTTGAAACTGTACAATTCTGCTTGACATGATTGAGCTATGGAATGATATATGTATTAATTCCCAATTAGTAATAATAATAAAAAAGATAATCACTTAAAAAAAGTTGGTATTCACGTCTTGATAAATTTCTTTACATTTCTCCTACTTCTGACTTGTCTAGTTTTTCTATTTGCTTTGGTTTTGCAATTATAGCCACAAAATGAGTCAACTGGGAAGAAAGTAATATTAATATATTTGAGCAAGCTTATCAGTTGGAGCCATCCTAAAGGTTCTATTGGATGTTGTTATTCATCTCAATTTTATAAAAGAAGGGGGGAAAGATTACATAGATGAAGTTACTTGGTTAAGATAAAATAACTACTAAACATCAGAGCCACCATGTCTTGGTTAATTTTAATATACATATTAAATATACATAATAGTAATATACATAATATATATGTATATTAAATTATATATATGGAGTGTTCAATGTGTTAGGCTGAGTAAGCAAGAGTGTTAGTTTACCCATTAGTTAACTGGAAATTCTTGTAACCAGAGCTTTCCATTCTTAACCATTTTTATTGACGTTTTTTACTGTACTTTACCTAGTAATTTTAGTAGCTGGTAGACCAGTGAACAATTTTCTAGTTTTCAGTAACCAGGTTTGAGACAGATTTTAAGATCTTGGGATGTATCTAACAGTATGTCATGCATACATTATTTTGTCTTTTCTCTGAAATAAAAAGCTGTCATCCGGGATGTCATCCGATGCGTAAAAAATTGACAAGATAAATTTGACTGCATCACTGCATTATCAAAGATCGAGATCTAGAGTTATTTTCATTCTAATAGTATACCAAGAGAACTTTTTCTGTTTTTTCAAGTTATTTGTATAAAGTATGAACGTTGTCGAAGGGCGTTAAGTTAAAGGCTCAGAACACACAGAGACTTTTTTTCTATGTAGTTGGAAATAGAAAATGTCATTTTCTGTACATTCAGCTAAACCATTGTTAACAAAACCTAAATGCTAATGTGATCTAGGCTTTTCAAATTCATTTGCCGTTGCTTTTCCTTCAGAAAATTAAAAAGGATCAAGGATTTTAACTAGAGAAAGGTGCTGGAACCATTTGGAATGCAAGGATGAAGGAGAAATAAGACGTGGGCAGACAGAAACAGCGCCACAAACAACATAAGCTGGCTTTAGGTGGCCGTTGAGCCTTTCTGACATTTGGCTGAAAACAGTATTTTTGTCACAGAAGCGTTTACTCTCGCCAACGAACATTTCTGACGAAGCAGAAAGCCAACTGCCTCGCAGTCCCAGCGCCGCCCGGGCGCCGCCCCAGCCCGCTCGACTGCCCCGCCCTCTCTGCGGCTGGCCCCGCCCAGACGGCCCCGCCCCCTCTGCTCCCGGCCCCGCCCAGATGGCTCTGCTCCCGGCCCCCGCCCCTTCCGGCTCTGCGCAGCGGGCCGCCGGCGCCTCGGGACCTGATTGGCTTATCTGACAACCGCCAACGGTTGCGCAGTTTAAACCGGAGCCCGAGCCGCGACCCGGGGTCGAACTCCGGGCGCCAGGTGGTGGTACCCCTACGTGGGAAGAGCGGTAAGTCAGTGACCTGTGGTTTGGGCATTTTCACTCCTTTTCTAAAAACTGGGAGTCGTTTTTCCCCCGCGTCAGACTTCCCGGAGGGGCTCTCCCGCTCTCGGATCCCGCGCCGGCCTGCGGGGGAAGTGCGGGATTGGATCGGAGTCCCGCCTCTGGCCCTGGCCTGGAGCCCCCGATTGCGGAACAGGGACCTGGCCGACTGATGGACTGTCAGCTTTTAGAGGGAAGGGATTATTTGTTTGTCTTTGTGACTGCCCTACCCCTGCTTCTAAAACGGTTTCTCACTCCTTGTAAGCGCCTCTTAGGTATCTGCTAAGTAAATGTTCAGGACAATTTACTCAAATTCCGAAGAAGCCCTTCTCCGACTCCTAGCGACCTGGTAGCATGTACGCGAGAAGCACACACCGCCTCACGGTATTGGAGCATCAATCCGTCACATTGAGCATCTTCTTTTTCGCTGACCTGTTGTGCCCATTACCGTGTCCTTCTCTAGGGACTGGTCCCTGCTGATAACATGTCCAAAGTTTGCGGACTCTCGCCATCCTTGCTGACCTTCCCAGACAGATTTTCCTGTTCTTCTGACGGCTCATGGCACATTTAACATTCTTGGCCAACACTGTTATTCGAAGGCATCAGTTCTTCCTTCTTGGTTTGCATTGCCCAGCTGGCATGCATATGAGGTGAATGAAAATACCCTAGGCTTTCTAACACTTTAAAAGAGGGATTTTGGAGCAGCTTTTCACAATGGAATAAGGCATTGTTTGATTTTGTCATTGCTGCTTCCATGAACATTGGTTTTTGGATCCAAGTTAATTGCAAACCAGCCTACTGCAATATTTTCTCCCATCTATCAGGTTGCCATCGGCCCGGTTGTGAGGATGTGCTTTTATCCTCAGGAAGAGGTGTAATCCATACTGAAGCCTGTGAGGTCTTGGATCTTCAGCAGTAAATGCTTCAAATCATCTTAGCTTTAAACAAATTGGGTTGTGTAATCTGCATATCACAGATTGTTAATGGTTTTCTTTATTCAGATAATCCAATTCCCCAGATTATTTGCTGACACACTCTTCCTGGTTATAAACCACACAATATCCCTTCTTCTGTTTGAACCACTGCCTCTTGCTCTATGTACAGGTTCTGCATGAGCACAATGAAGTATTCTGAGATTTCCATTCTTCATAGTATTATCCGTAGATTATGATCCACACAACCTTTGCATAGTCAAAAAAACACAGGAAACATCTCTCTGAGCTTTACTGCTTTCATCTGATCTCAATCATACCTCCGTTCCACGTCCTCTTCTCAGTCCGCTTGCATTTGTAATAGTTCCCTGTGGGTGTACTCTTGGAGCCATTCAGAAATTATCTTTAGCAAAATTTACTTGTGTGTGATATTAGTAATATCATTTGATAATTTCAGCATTCTTTCATTTTTCTTTGGAATGGACATGAATTATGGATCTTTTTCAGTCAGTTGGTCGGTCAGCTGTCTTCCAAATTTCTTGGTGCTTCCAGTCTTGCCTCTGTTTATTGAAATACCTCTATTGGTGTTCCATCATTTCCTGAAGGCTTATGTTTAGTGCAGCTTGTTGTTATTATTGTTAGGAGCCATCTAGTAGGTCTGAACCATAGAGACCCTAAGCACAACACAACAAAACCCAGCCTTGTCCTGCTCCATTCTCACAATTGTCCCTATGCCTGAATCCATTGCTGTAACCACTGTATCAGTCCATCTCATTGAGAGCCTTCTTTCTCTCTGTCCCATCCACATTACCAAGCGTGATGTCCTTCTCCAGGCCCTATACCCTAGACATGTCCAAAATATGTAAGATGAAGCCTTGCCATCCTTGCTCCTAGGGAGTACTCTGGCCATAATTCTTCTAAGATATACTGGTTTGTCCTTTTAGCAGTCCATGGCACTTTGAATATTGTACTCCAGCAACCCAATTCAAAAGCATCGGTTCTTATTTGGTCCCCCTTATTCATTGTCCAACTTTTACACGCCTATGAGGTAGTGGAAAATACCGTGGCTGGGTAATGCGCACCTTAGTCCTTAAAGTAATATCCTTGCTTTTCAATATTCTAAAGAGGTCTTATGCAGCTGATTTACCTAATGCAAGTTGTCTTTTGATCTCTTGACTGCTGCTTCCGTGAGCACTGATTATAGATCCAAGCAAGACAAAAGCCTTGACAACTTCAACTTTTTCTCCATTTATCATGATGTTACCTATTGATTAAATTTGGGGATGTAGCTCTTCTTTACATTGAGTGATAATCCACACTGAAGGCTGCAGTCCTTGATCTTCATCAGCAAGGGCTTCAAATTCTCACTTTCAGTAAGCAAGGTTAGCACAGCTTAGACTTCCTTTTTAATACCATCAATTCTTGATCGTATGCTGTCTTCTGAAATGGTTCAGTGTTGACCCACTCTTTGTGGTACAGTGGCTATACTCCTTCCATTTTCTTTTGATTTTTTCCAATATTTTGACCGTAGAATCCCTCATTATTATAATTTGAAGCTTGATTTTTTTTTCTTCTTCTTTCAAGGTAGAGAAATTCAAGTATGTGCTTCCCTTTGGTTTTCTGACTTAAGGTTTTTACACATTTTATTATAATACTTTGTCTTTTTGACTCACACTTTGAAATGTTCTGTTCAGATCTTTTGCTTCATCACTTTCAACTCATAGATACCCTATAGCAGTGGTTCTCAACCTTCCTAATGCCGCGGCCCTTTCATGCAGTTCCTCTTGTTGTGGGTGACCCCCAACCATAAAATTACTTTGGTTGCTACTTCATAACTGTACTTTTGCTACTGTTATGAATCAGGTGACTCCTGTGAAAGGGTTGTTCGACCCCCAAAGGGGTCACGACCCACAGGTTGAGAACCGCTCCCCTATAGGTAAGGGTAGAACTGCCACTGTAAGGTTCTAAGCCAGTACCTTTATGGGAATAGAAAGCCTCATCTTTGTCCTGCAAGGTCAACAATTTGAGCCTAGCAGTTGCTCCACGGGAGAAAGATGAGGCTCTTTACTCCCACACAGATTTATAGTCACAGAATCCCACAGGGACAGTTCTGTCTTATTAGGATCCCAATGCAGCAGAATTAACACGATGGTAGTGAGCTTGTTGTAATGGCAGTGTTTTTTAAAATGAACTTGCCTTTGAGTCTATGTGTGTATATATGTGTTTATCTGTGTGTATCTGTGTCGCTCGCAAATAATGTATTTATTTGCTTGTTTTCAAATACCACTTCTCTTTTTTTACCCACTCTCCTTGGCCTCCCCGTAAGCTTCAAAGTTCGTTTCTTTTGGTGTGAAAATTATTTTTTTCTTTTGTAATAGTGGTTTCATACAGTATTTGCCTTTATGAGTTCACTTGTTCCCTTGTCCCTGGGCTACTTGACCCTCCCCCTTCCACTTTCCCACCTTCCCTTCTACTGTGTCCCCTTGGAACCGTCGGTCCTGTTGTTTTCTTCTCTGAATTGTTTATCCCACCTATCTTATCTAGATAGCCATACAGAGGCATTAATAAGCGCAAAAACCAGGCAAAGCCAAGCAAAACAACAAAGGAAGACAAAACCAACAAAACAAGAACAGCAACAACAAAAAAGCCCCAAACAAAATAATAACAACAAAAAGAAAGACAAAGACAAAAAAGGAAAAGGCTATAAACAGTTCCAGGACTGTTTTTTGGCCTTTAGGAGTGTTTTCCAGTCAAGTCTGATGGGATGCCACACTCTGTCCCCAAAGTCTATTTTTGGTATTCCCTGGGGACTTCATCGCTTTGCTCCTCTTGCTGCTCTGTTGCATGTCCTTAGTGTTTTGCCCCAGTGTGATGGGGTCAAATTGGACACTGTTCCTGCACTGTGTCTCCAGTGTTGTCCCCCGTAGCACTATGATTCAGTGAAGGACGTCATGTCTGGTGGTGGGGCCAGTCCTATGGTCCTCCCTGTGCATTGTCTGCTCTGAGCAGGAATATGGTCCTCGGGCTTAGTGGGCCAGGATGTCCTCTCCTCCTTTCCATCCCTTACGTTTCTCCTGTGTGCTCTGATCAGATGGACCTGTCTCCCCAAGCTGTAGCATCAGTGCTCTCCTCTGAAATGAATTCTTCTGAGGGTGGTGAGGGGGGTCCACGTAGTTGAGATTGGGGTCTGCCCGCAGACCTCTCTGTGGCTCCCTGCTACATGCTGGCATGTTGCCTTCACGTCGAGGCGCAGCGTGTTGAGGCCTGGTCCTTCTTTCCCTCTCCTGTGGCGATATCAACAATACCCTCCCTTTGGGTGGGTGGTTTCCATCGTTTTGCTGTTGTGGATAATGCATGGGGATTCATATATCTGTTCAGGTTTTTCTATTTGTTTATTATTTAGGACTAGTTGTATAAGTATAGGGCTCTCTGAGAGAAAGAGTAGTAACTCTCTGCTTCCTTAAAGATTTACAGCCGCCAAAACCCTAAGGCAGCGGTTCTCAACCTGTGGGTCGCAACTCCTTTGGGGGTCAAACAACCCTTTCACAGGGGTTGCTCAATTCATAACAGTAGCAAAATTTCAGTAGCAACGAATATAATGTTATGGCTGGGGGTCACTACAACAGGAGGAACTGTATTAAAGGGTCGTGGCATGAGGAAGGTTGAGAACCGCCGCCCTAAAGACAGCACTGCTCTCCCCTAGCGGGCTGCTCTGGGTCGGAATAGACTTGATGGCGGAGGGTTCGGTGATGAGGACGAGCTCCTCATCAAGAGATTCATAACATAATTACAGCTGCAAGCCCTTTAAATAGATTCCAGAGGTGCGGACCTGGTGTCTTGGGGTGGGAGGGCCTCCAGGGAGTGTGAAGGGTGGTGGTGGCGGTACTTATCGGGTAGCACAGACTATCCTCTGCCTCAAAGATGAACATGTATCCTACATGCAGTGGAAAGTCACTCCATCCAACATCCCCCAAAACATCTCAAAAGTGAGAAAGTCTCATTTTTCTCCCATGGAGCAGCGGGTAGTTTTGAATTGCTGTTCTTTTGGTTAACAGTCCAACCCCAAACCCACTATGCCACCATGCAAAGTATCATTTTAATATCATGAGCTCCATAATCCTAGATATCATCATGTGTATTAGTTATGTATGAAACCGAGTATGATTTATCCTGGGGCCAACTGCTGTCTCTGTGCCTGGGAAACTAGAGAACAAGTTGTCTGTTCTAGACCAGGCAAAGGTACAGATAATCTCATTCCAGCAGGAGGTGGAACTCCTTTGTACTGTGTATTATATCCATTGTTCTTGTCACACTATAACATAATGATTTCTTCCCTATTCGATTGTGAGAGTCTAATAGACCATAAGTCTAATAAACAAATAAAGCTGAAGAGTTCACCCCACAGGGTTCACTCACTGCCACAGTATCGAATCTGACTCATAGGAACACTGTAGGACAGAGTCCAACTCCCAGGGCTTTCTGAGACTATTAATCTTTATGGAAGTAGAATGCCTCGCCTTTCTTCCTCAGAGAGACTGGTGGAATTGAACTGCTAACCTTGCAGTAAGTAGTCCAACACTTAACCCAGAGTACCACCAAAGCTCCTCCCATAATCGCAGCCTTCAAGTCAGTGGCAACTCACAGGGACCTCATAAGACAGTGTAGAACTGACCTGCTGTGTTTCTGAGACGAACTCTTCGTGTGAGTAGAAAGCTTGTCTTTCTCCCACAGAGTAGCTGGTGGTTTTGAACTGCTAACCTTGTGGATCACAGCCTAATGTGTAACCTCTACACCACCAGGACTCCCCAAAGCGCTTTCCATAGGGGTGGGCATATCTTTACTCTGCCTTCATTAAGGGGGTGCTTATCTCAACGGTTACTCTTCGTAGTCATTATCATAACAATGTGTGTTCCCACATCAGACTTCTCCATAAGAGCAAGGACCAGGGCTTGTCACCTGGGCCAGGGCCTAGGCTCCTGCCAGCACAATCTATTTTC